TTGAGAGAAGATCCAGGAGTTCCTCAGCTCCACCAACACCACCACCAGAGCCTCCAACAGCAGCAGCAGCAGCAGCAGCAGCAGACTCTCCAGACTGTTGCAGGGTATGGAAACACCGCAGAACAGAGCAGATATCACCTGCCATTCCCCTGGATGAAAACCACAAAGTCTCACTCACACACCTGGAGGGGCCAGTGGGCAGGTAATCCTCCAAACCCACGACTTTGTCATTCATGAATATAATCACTACAATAATTGTAATAGACAAATAGACAATTCTTCCCCGACATCATTTCAAAGTCAGCGATTTTGATCCTAAAACAATTCTCAGAAACAAACTTTCTCTTCATTTCTCCAAACGATCCTGGTGTTTCAGTTCACCGTGTCGGTCATTGTGTCCAAACATAGTCTTCATCGTTTGACATCACGAAAATGTTGGTTTTGCTCTTTACAAATATTATATAATATTTTCACAACAGTTCACATCATAAAGTCTCAAATGGTCAGCGTCTTAAGCTGTGAAAATATTTGATTTTTGCCAAAATTACTATAATTGTTCTCCAGCGAATACAGATTAAATCATATATCATGTTTAGTTTAATTTAATTCTAAACATGTGTTGAAACATGCGGAAATGTAAAGATTTGTGTTTATTTTTAGTCAAAACACGGTCACGTTTAATCCGAATTAATGACGTCTTCACCATATATATGCAGTACATATTAGTTAGTCTTTTTTTAAACAAAGATTCTCATTAAACCCATTCTCATTCTAACAAAACTAGTTTTACGCACAGGTCAAATCAGATTTGTTTTGTCACGTGTGAACTGAGTGGTAGAAAAAAAATCGGACTGTCTTATTTTAATTTACTTCCATAAAAACTCAATGTTAAAATTAACAAAAAAGAAAAAATCTATTAAAAAAAAAACAAAAATAAGAAATTTAAGAAAATGATTCTTGATTCATGTTAAATTATAAACTAAATGACTTATATTATTATTTTAATCTTTCTGTGTTTAAAATAAATATGTTTATAAACTGAAAACATCTTTCCTGCTCAGGGGTCTTTAACCACATGGTTCTGGACGATCCCTGATGAGTCCTAGACCAGTCCAGACTAAACCTACCTGGTCCACTGGTCCTGCCTTTATTTATTATTATTGCCCTTCACCTCGGCTTGAGTCCTTGACATTATGGCTGCACCCTTTATTTATTATTATTTATCATCATTTTATGACGCGTGCTTGGTTTCTTGGTGTTTTTACTGTCTGCGCCTGTGAAGCACCTTGGTCAGAAATGGAGGTGGAATTTGGAGTTAATGTAAATGTCAGGATTTCCACACGAGAACATGGAATCTCATGAGAATTCCAAAGCAAACAAACAAACAAACAACAACAACAAAATCACATTTTGCGTTTAGAATTGAACTGATAACTTGAGTAGGTTTAGTTGTTTAGTTTTCTGGTGAAGGATGAACGATGGTCTCTTCAATGACACAAAATAATTAAAAAAAACATATTCACCACTATAACTTTTATTGAATACAGGGCACCTTGGATAAGGGGGCTGTCATCCAGCCAGGAGGTCATGGGTTCGTCCCCACATGTGTTTCTGGGTATAATAAATATAATGATGATTATAATAAATATAATCATCATCATTCCGATTCCTTCTTATTATTAACGGGCTATTTATCCTGTGCACCATGAAGGTGTCATGGCGGTGTTCTTAACTCGTGTCAAAGTCAAACCTAAATATTTAATAGTTCATATGTTCATACACAAACATGTGTCTGTGACCTCAGGGCCCTACGTGATGACAGAGACCGAGGAAAACAAGCGCACCAGGACAGCCTACACCCGCGCTCAGCTGCTGGAGCTGGAGAAGGAGTTCCTCTTCAACCGCTACATCTCGCGGCCCCGCCGTGTGGAGCTGGCGCTGACCCTCAGTCTGACCGAGAGACACATCAAGATCTGGTTCCAGAACAGGCGTATGAAGTGGAAGAAGGAGGAGGACCGTAGGAAGGCGAGGGGAGGTGCCGACCCGGATCAGGACTCCTCCATCACCTCGGTAGACCAGGGCGATGTAGCTGCCGCGGCCACTGCAGCTGCGCCGCCGCCAGGAGGCGCCTCCTCCACGAACGGAGCTCACGCTGCCACCCCGCCGGTTTCCCCGCTGCACACTCACTCTCTGTCGGCCTCAGGGTGCAGAGAGTCAGCATAGACACACAACACGCACATAGAAACTAAAGATTACTGGGATTATTGTTGTTATTACTGTTTGTTTTTTTTACCTCCAAGAAAGACACATTTATCCACCTACTTTGCGCCTTTGTAAGTGAACCAACAGCTGCAGGAAATGTCACGGTGGAAAACGAAGACTTCCTTTGTGTTGGACGAATCAGGACTGGTGTCACATTTCTACGTGGATTAATTTTTGTCTTTTTGCTAAAGTGGCTAGTGTAAAAATATGTAAATTATTTCTATACTAACTTTCTATACTTAGAAGGATAAAAGAAAGGAGTCTTTCTTGCAAAAAACAAAAAAAAAAACAAAAACTGAAATGAATCAGAAGCTACACAAAAATTAGGAATAAATTTGAAAAATAAAAATAAATAGTCATAAATATAGCTACGGCAGAAAAAATAAAATAAGGTAAAAATTAAATTAAAAAAATGAAATGGTCCTGAATTTTTAATTTTTTTTATAATGATAGAAAAGCTCCTTGAATTAAACTGTTTTTTGACATAGAAATATCACAGTGTTTGAAGTAGAACTGGTGGAATGCAGATACATTTAAAGATAAAATGGATGTATAACATTCCACAATACTTCAAACAACACCACGAATATATAAAGGAGCAGTTTATCTGCATGAAAACGTCATTTCCCAACATTGAATTGATGACCAAAAGTTTAGACGCCTAAATGTCCTAAAAATAAAAACGGTGACAAAGAAAAATCAAAATTTTTATAATGAAATTATTTTATAAAAATAATTCAAATTAAACACATGAATTTATTTTCTTTTATGCCTAATTAAAAAGATGACACTAAACGTGTGTGAACCACTACATGGTGACAAAATACAAAACTAGACTAGAGTATTAACATAAAACAGGAAAAACTGCAGCATTTTCTTAATTATAATATTAAAAGTCAAAACTGTAAACAAAACACACCTTTTAGTCTCTCCTCCTCAGGTGGTTACAGATGTTTGAGGCAAATTCACCAAAACAAAATGGAACTAGGACAGTTAAAGTTCTGGGCTGTTTTTTTTTTGCTGTTTTGGACCTTGTTTTGGTCACATGTATTTTTCTGTTTTAATAATTCAAAAAACACTGCACTACATCATATTTTTTGCCCGTAAAGCTGGTGGGAACTGGCTTTCTTGCAGGTGTGGCAGAAGAATACTTTACATTTTGCTCAACTTGTCAGTGTTCACCAGGCCGTGGAGACGTAGGCTGCAGATCTTCTTCACCTCCTCTATGCCGCGCTCCCTCTCCAGCTCCACCTCATTCCCACAGCGCTCAGAAAGCTGCTGTAAAATCCTGTCTTTGTCGTTCATGCGAGCACAGATGACAAAAGGAAACCCAAACTTTGTCTTGTACTGCTGGTTGAGCTGAGCCATGCGTGAGGCTTCTGTGGACTCCAGTGCGTCCAGACCGGCTCTGGCCTGCTCCTCGTTGGACTCCTTGGTCAGGGTTCCTCTCTGGAGGTCCCTGCCAGCGAGGTCTGGGTGACACCTGAGGATTCCTTCTTTACCTGGACAGACATGACCAGTCAATACTGCACTGTAATGTCCACAGAACTGCTATTATCCTCTGATAAAAGAATTAAAACAACAGATCAGTGCAATCTCCCCACTGTAGGAAAAAAATAAACAAACAAGGCTGTAGCTTTAAGAACCACACGTCTTAGCTTAATTACATTTCCAGCTTGACCTGTTTTTTTTTTTGCTTCACTTTTGCTTCTCTTCCCAGTCTGCTTTGACAACCACAGACTCACAGGCAGAGCAGAAATATTGACAAGTATTTCTAAATGCTGCTAAAATGGTTTTGTGTCTCACCTGTTTCTGGCAGAGCATCAATGAAGTCACAGATTGCGGCCTCCAAGTCATTCAGACTGTTGAAAGGACGCTGTAGACAAACAGCAGCAGCAACGATGGTATAGTTTTCCACCACGTTGCCGAAAACACTTACAAAATCCTCGTATGGAAGACTGTTGACTGTGTTGATGTTCATTGTTGTCATTTGTTACGCTATAGCTTGTCTTTAGACACCAGCCTAGAGAGGCAGCAACCTGCTGTTGGAAGTAGGAAGGATATGAACACCAGCCTAACAGGTTTAGAGTACAGTCGTACATACTGTACCTGCTTTTATAGAAACTCCTCAGACACTGATTCATTTGTAAGTCAGTAGGGCTGTTTTCACCTGTCTTCACCTTTTCACTCCCATATCTCCAAACAAACAGTGAGTTTCAGTGAAATATTTGATACATCATCAAAAGCTTAACTGAATATTTTAAATTATAATGTTTTTGCAAGTAGGATTTTTTTTGTATTTCTTACTGCTGGATGCAATTTTATTTTTGAATCTAAGGTAGTGTCAGAGCCTTGCTGCTGTGTCATTGTCCATTTCCTCTACATAAAATCTTTATTTACAAATTCAAACTACTGTTCTATTATTATATAAGTATTCAGAAATTACACAGAAAATGCAGACATGTGGTTTTCATGAATGTTTTTTTTTAAGACAGCAATAAAAATTACAGCTTTTGACCATTTTAGTCGGTGAGGACTAGGGCTTGGACCCGCAGGTGGCAGATCTTCTTCACCTCCTCGATTGCACGCAAAAACTCCACCACGTACTCATTCCTGCAGCACTCAGACAGCTGCTGTAAAATCCTGTCTTTGTCGTTCATTCTAGCACAGATGATGAAGGGGAACCCGAACTTCTCCCAGTACTTGGTGTTCAGCTGGGTTATGTGCGAGGCCTCCCAGGACTGCAGTGTGTACAGTCCAGCTTGGGCCTGCTCCTCCTGTGACTCCCGGCTTAAGGTTCCTCCCTGCAGATCCCTGCCGGCAAGTTCTGAGTAGCACCTGAGCAGCCCCACCTTACCTGGTCACACAGCAAGTATTATTACAGTACGGTAATTTCAAATTGGAAAAGTATAAGACTGCATGTATGTGAGTATAAAGTGGAAAAGAAATGACCCAGCTCTGAATTAGACCAGAAGAATTTGGTTTGCTGGAAGATAAGTAGCGGTGACCTCCCTTGAATGTTATTCCCCAACTGCAAAACTGATATGTTCTGCTGAAGAAGATCTAATAACTAGCAATGAATTTCTTTAGAAAGTTTTTTTTTGTCTTTTTACCAACATTACAATTCAACAGAGAAATTACTTATTTTAACTTAAAAAAATTAAAAAAAAAATTCTAAAAACTCTCCTATTGGTCAGACCTACATCACCGGCTCATACAATAACTCTGTCACCTGCAGGTCTCTCTGCAGCCCCTTGGCATTAGCTCTATGTATATTAAACATATGTAAATAATAAAAAAACCCCTTTGTGACTAATACAAACCAACCAGTCAGTATACTTAGTAAATAGCAGTGCACCCTGCAGTGTCTAAAGTCACTTATCTGCTTTTCTGTGACTGTTTGATGGTGTTTTTTCAGATATTGAGTTTAACATAATGTAACTATTCACGGTCAACCTTGCCTGTAGCTGGATCAAAGTTAGAATTTGTATTTTTGAATATTTAAAACAGTACACACTGTACTGTTGACTTCATTCAAACAGTTAAAGTGCTCGTGGGGGTCTTGAATAATTTAATTTAACGATTAACAACACAGATGATAATTGGTGTCGGAGGCTGGTACAGTACGTGCTCCCTGAAAAATGTCAGTGTGTCTCTCACCTGATTCTGTCAGATCGTCGATGAAGTGATCAATGGCAACATGCATATCATTCAGAGAGTTAAAAGGACGCCGCGACCACAGAGCAGCAGCGATGAACGGGCTCTTCTCCACCACATTACCAAACACATTAAAATAATCTTCAAATGAAAGATTGTTGACTGCACTGATGTCCATTGTGTTTTTTAAATTTATAGCTGTTCTGTCACACCAAGGTTCTCGGAAAGCGAACCTATGAGGCAAACCTGGGTGTTACGATTTAATATGATTAAAGCTTGTGCTGTAGTTGAATTAGTGTCATATTCCATTGTTGACATAAGATTAAATCATCAGATCCGTCGTCAAAACCGCACTTACAACTTAAGTGCTTGCATCATCATTGGGTCTCTGCCTTTAGGCTAAGATTAAGTAGCGCCCACATTTACCTAGCCTATTTAGTCATTTATTTTCAACATTTGTAACTTTTTGTTTTTCTGTAGAATAACATATAAATGAGAAAAATCCAACTTGTCATATTAGCTATAATTTTGTAATTTTTGTTTATTTTATTGGGAGTCTCTCTTAAAAAAACAAAACACCTACTGTGTATAATTTTTGTTTATTAAGGTTGTAGTTCACATTAGTCAATAATTATAACTTGTTCCGAGCTTCAGTGTTCACCAGGCCGTGGAGACGTAGGCTGCAGATCTTCTTCACCTCCTCTATGCCGCGCTCCCTCTCCAGCTCCACCTCATTCCCACAGCGCTCAGAAAGCTGCTGTAAAATCCTGTCTTTGTCGTTCATGCGAGCACAGATGACAAAAGGAAACCCAAACTTTGTCTTGTACTGCTGGTTGAGCTGAGCCATGCGTGAGGCTTCTGTGGACTCCAGTGCGTCCAGACCGGCTCTGGCCTGCTCCTCGTTGGACTCCTTGGTCAGGGTTCCTCTCTGGAGGTCCCTGCCAGCGAGGTCTGGGTGACACCTGAGGATTCCTTCTTTACCTGGACGCACACAAAGAGGGAGAATCGTCACCCTGGGAACCAGCATTTCAGAGGTCAGAGGTCATGTTTACTCTGCTCGATGTGATCTTAACATGCATTGAATTTAACTGTAACTCTAATTTAACTGTGTAATGGTTATCAGCTGCAGCTCTTGCCTGGAGAACCTGTTATACAAGTGGAGAGCTTTTTAACTTAAACCTACAGAACCTTTCATTTGAGTGTGTTCTTCCCTGTTGTCTCACTTCTCAGAACATTTGGTTGCCCACTCATTTGTCCGACCATTGCACAAAATCCATCCATCCATCCATCCATCCATTTTCATCCGCTTATCCGTTACCGGGTTGCGGGGGCAGCAGTCGCCACCCAAATCACATTGCACCGTACCTAAACCTTCCTGCAGGTGGTGAGTTCACTGGAAGGTACCAACCGCCCTAACCGGGATTCAAACTTGCCCAGGAGGTGAACCCTGGGGTTTCACACCAATGACAGAGACGTTGCCTCTGGGCCAAAGCGCCACCCCATTGCACAAAATAATATTTTAAATCCAGATTTAAAAATTAGACCACAGAGTATCAGTATCAACCTGCGTCCTTCACACGGTTTCAGACTCAAATGTCTTCAGTCATGGAGGGTAGAGTAACCTCAGCTGAACTTATTATCTAACAATAGCTTAACAACAGATCTACTGGCACAGAAAAAAAAACAAACATCAGTTGAATGTGAAGTTGACGATGGGAACGATTTGATATAGAAAAAATATTATCTCACCGGATTGTGGTAGAGCATCAATAAACTCGCTAATCGCAGCCTCCAGACTGTTCAAACTGTTGAAAGGACGCTGTGAACACACTGCAGCTGCGACAATAGGACATTTCTCCACCACATTCCCAAAAACACTAACAAAATCTTCATAGTGGAGGGAGTTTACTGCGGTTATGTCCATGTCTGTGTGTGTCTGTGTCTGTGTCTGCTACACACAGGGTTAAAGCTGACCTTTGGACCGGAGAGGTCAATACCCTGCTGAGCAGGGAACACTGTGGGAACATCAGCCTCTGTTCAGGTGGTTACTGATTCCATGAGCAATACCCACATTCAATTTTTTTTTTTACTAGTTTAAACTCTGAGCAGTTCGTCAAAATACTCTGAGGTTTGGCTTCCTGTGTTATGATTCCAGTTCTTTGTGGTTTCTCTCTTTCAGTTTTCTTGTGTTTCAGCCTGTGTTCTCTGGTTCGCTCCTTATTTCATGGGCCCATGGCCACCCTCGTCTACCTGCCCCCGTCCACCATGTTTCCTTCCAAGGTGACCTTCTAACCATACCCACCCGTGTCTGTGTACGGTATATACCCCTTTCTTATTTTCCCTTGTTGCCTGTTCAATCAGTTAAACCAGCCTTATCTCTTGACTTCACTGTTGACACAAAAATATGATTCTTGACAGCAGATGAAAGTCAAATATTTGCAAGTAATAACTTTTTAATGCAAACATTAAAAGATAATTTTATTAATTATGAAGTAAAGTACATTTGATTGCAGGTGTAGAGGTTCATAACAAAAGAGGGAGATATATGGTATAAAGGACATGGAATGACAAATTGAATCAAATATCAAACTTCAGAGTTAACAGAGTTAAACAGTAAAAAAATAGCCCAAAATCATGTTTAATTGTATAAAAAGGAAATAGTCACTGTCTGTTGTAACACATTTTGGATCATTGAGCACTTTACCAAATATGCTGTAGACATAATGCAGATTAATGCAGCGATTTTAGGCAAATATTAAAAAAAAAAAACCTCAAAAAATATATAAAAACAGCAACAATAACACAAATGTTATTTGGCCTGTTTTACACAAATATAACAAATGAGCATTGCATTTATATTGAATAGAAATTAGCTTTATAGATGGAACACTAACATGGCCATCCAATGAAATGGTGGTGGCTGCAGTTGACTTCAGCTCATTTGAGACCTCTGTAATATTCAAAGGTATTTTATAAACATATGGAAATTCAATCCCCGAATAGCATCAGATTTTATATAAATAGAAAGCAGTGCATTTTAGCTTCTGAGAAAAGAAAGTATTGTATAAAAGGTAAAAAATAGGATCTGATCATCAGCATACACTCAGATAAAGATCTTTACTCAACGTCACATTTCTTCAGTAGTTTCTCCTCAGCTGTATCAAAAACCTCTGCCTTGTTTTCTTTAGTTTCATGTGTTGAACAGTAGTCATTAAGTGACTGTGCCGTTTTCTCCTTTGCCAAAATTTCCAAAGTTGCAGGTGCATTCTGGTATTCGCTGGACGTTTGGTCCATCATGTTGTGGTAGAGCTGAAAGAGGAAGAAAGTTTGTCAAGAAGAAGGAAGAAGAAGAAGGAGCAGAGGAGTCATTTCACCATAAGGTCAGCAACATTTAGATCCTCTTCTCATAGAGAAAGGAGAAGGACTTGAACTCTGGGCGGGAACACGGCCTCACCTTCTCCTCACTGTCTGTCAGCTGGTTGCACATGAAGGACACCAGTTTGGAGAAGGACGGACGTTTGGAAGGTTCCAGAGCCCAGCACATGCACATGGTCTCGTACCTAACAGAGGAAGAAAGAATCATGTGGTCACATGGTTGAATTAGATACATGTGACCCACATGTGTCATAAACATGGACTAATTAGAATACAAAGTAACAATTCAGTTCTGGTTAAATATATGGTTGTATTACTGACACCAGCATCTATATTCATACATATGCAGTTAATGTGTTGTTGTTTCTAACCACAGCCTCGCCCATAACAGACATTGACAAACTTTTGTATCAGTTCCCTTTAGAAAATGGTCAATTGCCAGATGCCAGTTCAAGTTTTACTTGTTACAGTTTTTACAGTGTTGTATAATTATGTACCATATCAAATATGTGGACAAACATTAGGACACGTACACAGACTCATTGGCGTAGTACGGACACTCCATCTTGAACCCACTCTCGATCATGGAATAGAACGCGTGATCCACCTTAATCCCGGGGTATGGAGTAACACCTGCACAATGCACCAACAAAGGAGATTTATACCTGTTTGTTTGTTGAATGATTAACATTGCATGTGGACGGCACTTGTCAGTGAAAGCTACCGAGTGAGAAGATTTCCCAGAGCAGAATGCCATACGCCCAGACGTCACTCTTCATGGTGTACATGCCCTGAAAGATGCTCTCCGGCGCCATCCACTTCACTGGTAAACGCACCTTCGGTGAGTGAAGGAAACCACAGTTAAACCACACTCAACCTAACGTGTGAAAAGTGGTGGATTAGGGCGTCGACAGAGAAACAGCGTTGTCATTTCACATACATTTCCTCTCACAACGTAGTTGCAGTCGTTGTCGATGTCGCGGGCCAGACCGAAGTCTCCAATCTTCACCAGTCGACCTTTTGTCACCAGGACGTTGCGAGCGGCCAAATCCCTGTGGATGCACTGGAGACAGATACAAGCGCCGGTCAGTAAATGACTCTGTATCACACGCTCAGTCACAGTACACAAGGGACGATGGCCAAAAATACAGTGTAAATGATTTGCACTGCACACCTTTGGGCAAGTGGTTATTATTGTTACCCTTCACATGACTTTGGCTACATCCCAGGTTTTAGCTTTAACACAGAGTAATTATATATAAATCTTAGAATAGTGTTGTCATGGGGTACTGAGGCCAAAAGACAAAACAGCTATCAACACAAAGTCAGGGATCCTTTGGTAAAAAATATTATATTTTTATAAATATAAATATTATACACAAATACTACAGACTACGGTGTGTTTGTGAATCAGACTAATGCAATTTGTCTTTGATGAAACATTGAAAATCAACATCTTTGTCTGTGAATAGACCAAATGTGGGACAGAAATGTCCCGGTTGTCTCTTACATTCTTGGAGGACAGGAACTCCATGCCTTTGGCCACTTGGAAGGCGAAGCTGAGCAGGTCATCAAAGGTCAGGGCCTGCAGGTCATCTGTTTCATCGTCCTCTTTCTCATACATCTCTGCAGAAGTTTGCAGGAAAACAAAATCTATACATATTTGTATACAGTAACACGTATATTTATTTTTCTTTCTTTGTTTTTTTTTATTACCTTCATATTCGTTCATCTCACAGGCTATGGACAGGAGGCCAACATCCTCCTGCCCCCTGGTGGCTGTAGAGTACATGGGAACATAGGGGTCCACTGCTGTTTTTTGGTCACTGTGAAAATCCATTTGTCAAATTGTGTTGAGTTTTAAACTGAAATGTGGAGGCAGGTGGCCTTCGTTTCCTCATTTGCATGCACCTGACCTTGAATTTCCCTGAGGCTGTAGGTTTTGGTAGAGGCTGCTGAAACGATCCTTGTTGAACGCGTCAGTCACAGACTTGTAGTAACGCTCACTGTTGTTCTTCAGGTAGTTCAGGAGGTCTCCGTTATGGCAGTACTGGAAAATCAGGTAAATGGGTCCTGGGAGTGGGGCGAGGGGGGTGGAGGGAGACAAACAATGTTCGCACTAGCAGTTAGGTGACTGCAGCACATTCTAGTTGTAGTAAATGAAGTAAATAAAATTACAAACAGCAAATTTAGTCTCCTGTGACACAAATAAATAAAATATTAAATAAGCTTAATGTCCTAAGGGGGCCTGCCCCGCATTTTGGGAACCACCGCACCACGTGACTGTTCGTAGGAAAGAACACCTGCTATTGGGTGTTGTTTGTTTATTGTGCATGTGTGACTCGTTGCCGTGACTGTACCAATGTCTGTGCAGGCTCCCAGCAGGTTGACGATGTTATTGTGCTGACCGATGTGGGTCAGCATCTTGAGCTCCGACATCAAAGCCTCTTTCTCCACCATCTCGTGTTTCTCTGTTGGAACAAAAACCATAGCGGCCTTTGAACTGACCTCTCCATAACACTGGAACTTATTCAACCAGCACTTGTTTATGAGACCTATGCAAACTAACATCTACATCTGATTTTCTCTGGAGGGGATTCATGCAAATTGCCTTTACCTTGTCGAGCGGCCCCTCATTTCACCCACTCTGTGGCCATACAGCTAAACTTAACATACGGGAGGGAACCTATCCAAGAATATAGTCATGGAAGTCTGACCTTTGAGCATCTTGACAGCCACCTGCTGCGAGACTCCAGGTTTGTTGATACCATAGGCCGTAGCTTGGACAACCATGCCAAAAGCCCCAGAGCCCAGTTTTTTACCTGCAGAGGAACCAGGCACATCCTGTGTGAGATTTCAAAATGACTTGGTTTTCACTTCCTTCAATATACTTTTGTTTTTATTCGAATGTACAGCCCTTCTACATATGGACATACTGGACAAAAAACACAATATTCAAAGACTAGATGTAGCTAATGTGAGTAAACTGAAGTCCTCTCCGCCTGAGAAGATACGATGTCCCTGTAAGTCCTACATGATGGTCACTGGTTTTTATCTGTCCTCTACTTTTAAATGTTCACAGCATGGTGTATATATATCTATTATTTGTGTTATCACCAGGGCTGTCAAAAGGAACCAAATTAATCAGATTAAAAATAAATAAAAAATAGATTTTTAAGAGAAATAATAGAAATAGTTATTTATTATAATAATATTACAAGTCTGCATTTGGCAACACACACCACACTGGTAATCACTCATCTAGACCTGAATCAGGTGGAAAAAACAAATGTTTGTTTGACTTTACAGGTGCACCTGTGGATTTTCCTGGGAAAACTAATGACACAGAGGTACACATAATGGACAGGTTCACTATAGGGCCCTCTGATGCAAATCTTTTTTAACTAACTCCCAAGTACATTCTCTATTCAAATTCATAACGGCCCCTCGCCTAAGCCAATCTGTGAACAAGCACACAGACTGAAGGGCAAGGGCTAGGTCACTGGATTAGCCAGAGTAGCATCAAGTTACCATAACATGTCATATTCCCCCATCACATCACATCAACTGCACAACAAACACATTATCAGTTTAGTCTGTATGTTTTTAAGATCTGTTGGGTTATATTCAAATGTTGTTGAGGTTTGCATCTCGGCCTGTCCTGTTGGTGAAAATTAGCATGAAGTGTCAAACACACTGTTCCTGCTCTTTTAATAACTCAAAACAAACACTCTTCAGGTCTGAAGTCATGGACTGTGTGAGCCATACCCAGTTCTAGGTTCTCTCTGGGAAATTCCCATTTCTTGTCGTACTCAAAGTCCTTAAAGTTGATGTAGATGTAGTCATTGTCGCTGGGTCCCACCATCTGGATCATCTGCAGGTGGGGCTTGTACTGGGGTTTCTGTTAGAAGCAGAGGGAAGATGTCACTCTCTTTTTTTGTGTGTATTTGTTTTTATATGACAGTTTCTGACCGTTACCTTCTTTTTGACAAAGTACATCAGCAGGACACTGACAAAGGCCAAGGCCAGGAGCAGGACGAAGGTCCCAACTTTCAGAAGCTTCATGTGGTTATTATTGGAATCATTAACACCTACGAACACAAAAGGGTAGCCGTAAAGGTGTCTTATGATAATGCTAACCAAAAATGTTGCGAATTATTGTTTACATTTAGATGTTTATACCTCTAAAAGCCTCGGGTGACGGTGGGTAGTTAACTGAAGAGGAACACCAGAAGCCTGCAGAGTTTTGGAGGCAAAACTTTACCTGGCTTCCATTCCCTTGCTCTCTTCCGAGTGAACTCCACTGTGTTTTTTGGCAGAAGGTGTCAGTGTCTGTGTGTGAGGATTCTGGGATTTCTTTGTATTGGTAATCATCTTCACAGCTGAAGGATTAGGGACATAAGAACGTTTAAATCTCTTTTCCTTAAGGCAGTATTAAATACCGTTTTTATGAGATAATTTTTTTCATTTTGTAATCGAGTTGCTGTAAGGCAGCAAACCTCATTAGTTTGCTTTGATGAAGCTTTTATGTCTCATTAGATCAAACTCATATTATAGTCATGTCACCCTCTCCCCAGGGACAGTTTGGACTTACTTGCAACGTTGATTTTTACATTAGAATTGACAAAAAAAGTTTTTTTTTTCTGACTGTAATCATACCTGTCATTTGACGAGGAACACAACATCCAGGTGTAATTTGCTGGGACGAGACTCACAGTCTCAACAATGAGGGTATCATCAATGTTGTTAAACCCGAAATTGAAGTTTGGTTTATCTAAAACAAAGGGCAAAAGTAATAATACCTGTGCATGAAAGTTGAATAATTGTGTGTGGAACAAAAGCCTTTTTGCTTCATGATACACATCTTACCCACAACGCACACTGATATAGTCTTTGTTTCCTCTTTTCCTCCGGCTTCAGCGTGTAACTTGTAGTCCCCTGATATGAGCCGTGTGCACAGTTTCACGCTCCTAAAACAAGGGTCAGTTAATCTCCACATTCAACCGTTCCCAGATGGAGATGGATTAGAGAACTACAAACGCCACCTGACAATCGTACCTTTGTGTTGTTACCCATTTTTTCAGCATGCATTTGGTGATGGTTTTATCGGGAGCCTCCCAGAAGCAGTTCTGCAGCACAGGGTGGTAGGAAACATCGGCCTCCAAACAGGTCCTGCTTGAATTCTCAGCTGGAACAATCTTGCTCTCATTCAAGTGGACGGAGAGGAAACCTTCGGCTGAGAGGGTCCAAAGGCAAAATCAGAATGTGTACAGGAAAGACAGATGTAAGGAATTCATATTTGTTCAGGAAAAAAGCTGGGGTTTTGTTTAAAGTAACATTACTAACCTCTCACTTGGACCTGAAGAGATTTTGTTTTGTTTTTTGGACTCCTGCAGGTGTAGGTTCCACTGTCCTCCACCCTGATTGACTTGATGAACAGGTAGGTCATCCTTGTTTGATAATGGGAGTCATTTTTGATGCACATCTTAAAAAATAACACACACACACTTTTAAAACATTAAATGATTTGTAGGTTTAAATATTTAGAGTAATTTATTCAAAGGTCAAAGGTTTTTTTCCATCTTATCTTCCATCCTGACATAAGATAAGTAGATAAATGAATTTAAATGAACAGATGGTACCTTCTTTTCAACTGTAGAAGAGCAAACGTCATCAGCACCTAGCGCCTTGCCGTCTTTCTCCCACACAGGTGACGGGGGTCTCAACTGCAGTATTCTGGATCGAAGCAGTAGCGACTGACCAGGACTCAGAATCAGGTTAGAAACCTCAGTGTCTTTCATGACATCACTCTCAAGATCTGAAGACAGTCACAGAACAGCATGGTGTCATGCAACATACTTGAAGGTCTTGTATTGTATTTTAACATCTCTTTACTATTTCCCTTCCACTACATGTCCCCGGGCTGTAAAATGCTGTTTGTTTGATCTTTTCTAGTTTAAAGAGGAAAACAAAACTTAATAGTAACTTTGCTTAGGCAATTATTTATTGTTGGACAAACTTCAGAGGCTTTTCTACTATCTCTCTAAGTACAGTATTAAATTACCATAGTCGTACAGCTGAGTGCATTCTTGATTTTCAGTAGTAGCACAGCACATGACCTCAGTGTCGTAATATTTGGTTGTACTTATTGTGCTCTCTGCTCTTCGGCTGTGGTTTGTAGGGACATCTGTTGCAGCCTGTTTTCTGTTTAAAGAAGAATAAAGTTGATTATTGACAATACCCAACAAGGTATAATGACACTACACAACGCACGCCAAATTGTGCATATTGAATAATTACCCTCTTACCCCAACCACTCAAGTGTAGGCCTGGAGCAGCCCTCTGAAACGCATTTAAAATACGGGGATCTTCTGTTTATGTTGACCTGATCCAGCAGCAGCTGCGGCTTTGTGGGACGTCCTATTAAAATGGATATTTTTTAGCTGGTACCCTAAAGTTATTAATCTATCTGTAATAAACAGTCTGGTATTATCGAGGAATCCCCAACCATTGTGCCGTGGCACACTAGTGTGCCCTGAGAGATCATCATGCAGTAGAAAATAATCAAATTTCATTTAATGGTCTGAAAAATATTATTTATTTAGTGAAATAATAATTTTTTTTTAATAAGTTTTTTTCTTTGTCAATGCAACAGTTACAGACAGAATAATTGAATCCTATTTCTTTCTTTGATGGTTTGCCATTCAAATGTACTAATGTTAAAACACATGTCATAGCTGAAAAAATGTTGGGAAACACTGTTATAATTATTGTACAGTAGCAGGTGATCCATTACCCATAACATGAAGGGAGACAGTAACTGAGTACGTGTTTCCATTCGTGGTTTCACAACTGATCGTGTACTCTCCAGAGTCTGCCTCGGCAAGTGGTGGCAGGACAATGGAGTTTGGCCTTTTACTGTAACATATGGAAAAAAACATTTAGCAAATATTTATGCCAAATGTTAGAAAAGTGTTAGAGTTCTAATTAAACTTATTAAACTTAAAAAAACAGACTATCCTTTCTTCCAGAGATCTCAGGAAATGAAACAATTTTTTGGCCTTTTTTCCAATTTTGTTTTTTGGTCCTGTAGCATTCTAGGATTAAATATTAAAATAAATTAAACAATTTTCCTGGATTTTAGTTCTGACTCCAGATATTTCACCTCATTCAAAAAGTTTTGATTACTGCCCAGAAGATCATTTTAATTATCCATATGATCCTGATCATTCGCCCGTAAGAATAAATAAATTAAGACAAAATTCACATACACAGTCACCAGGGTCACATTTTCTCGGATCCAGCCACAGACATTGTTTTCAGTGAAGCCTGATAGTGATATGTTCAGTCTCTTGCCAGCACACACTTCGAGGCTGACAGGATGAGATGCATTCAAATGATTTGCTGGTGCAAAACACACCGCCTGAAAGACAAACCCATGGCATTTATAAACTCTGTTCCAACTAAATCCATTTTGGTGGTATGGAAATACAATCAGTGAGAATTTGCCTTCTGGTAAACAGAAATGAAACACAAATCATTACAGTCAGGTTTGTGACATTTCCTCTCAGTTCTTTTTTTTTTTTTGGGTTATTTTTTTAGTTTTTCTTTGCATGAATTACCTTCACAAGACACTCAAACATGTGCTTTTTTATGGAGAAGTCTATATGTGGTAATTTAGTTTTTCAAAGAAGCCAACAGAGATAGATTGATATGCTACAGACCAGTTTAAACATTATGATAGCTAGATAGCTGTTACCTCATGACTGGACACACATGGTGCTGCAGTCTGTGCTGCAACAAGAGCTGAGCAGAGAACTCCAACACCACTGATCAGGAGAAGAGCGGCTTTCAGAGAAAGAAAAAATATTTTTTAAATCATAAAAAAGAAATATGCCAGTATGCACCTGTAATTTGAAATAAATAATTTAAATATATATATTTTGATTAAAGAATCTGGTCAACTTTTTAGTAAGCTGCGTCAATTTCAGTTCAGCAACTGTTGAAATAGCTCAGGGGCAAATAATCCTCTTGAGATGCTTAAACCTTTAAGTAAAGCTACATGCAAATACACTGAATGCAGTACAGTAGTAATGAAATCTGACCTTGGTATTTAAAGATCCTAACACACTAGACTGTTTTTTAGTACCTGGATCAATACCTCAAGAAATAAGTTGTGTTTTGGCTTTCATGATCTATTAGTTTTGACTAATGGTCCTGATATACTGTATGTTTATGAGGTTGACCCTTCGGACCGAAAAATAAATAGTAAAGAAATAATAAACACCATTTCTCACCTGCAGTCATCTTCTCCTCTGCACTTGATGCTGTGTTTCCTCTCACATAACTGACAATAACTTTCATGTAATCTTCAGTTCACCTTCCTTTTTAAAACAGTGGTGACATCACTGGCTCCGCCCAGTATCTGTTGCTCTTGACAGGATTCAGTGCAACAATATTTATTTTGTTTCTTTCTTCTTTTGCTGTTTGTTTACCTGCAAGGCAAATTCTTATTTGTGTAATTAATTCCTGTCTCTAAAATAATATCAAAGGCATAGGAACGGGAACAAATGTTTGTTATAGGTGTGTTTTCAACAGTTGTTGCTTTAAAGCATTTGTCTAACATGCAATGGATTTTAAATAATGTAGTCCTTCTTGTTATCATTACGAATTCACCGAAAGAAAAGTATATGTTTGATAAATATAAATGAATGTACCTTGAACATAACAAGGCCATCATTTACAACTGTTGACCCAACTGTTGGTAGATGAACTGACAAAAAATATGATTAACTAAAACAATGAAAGTTTTTTATGGTCCTATTTTCTCCAGTGTAAAGTCTTCACTAAAAACTATGAAGCATTCTTTTTATTCTTATAATGTGTCACTACCTGTCACCTTAATGCACCCCTATTTAAAAACATGAAATAAACAGGGGCTGAAAGAAGAAGTGGTCTCTTTGGTCGGCTTAGAGTCTATTGCAACATCTCGTGTTTTTCTTTTTTATTATTTAACATTTTTCATTTGCTTGTTTGATTCTATACCTGATAAAAACTTGATCATTTTGGTAATATATTTTTTATTTCAGTCCACAATAGTGTTGCACTTTTTACACCTGTTGCATCATGATTCGTGTCATAAATCATACATTAGCTGTGTGTATTAGGTTTTAATAATTGTAACGTCCATGCATTGCATTTCCTGTTATCATTTTGAATCGGTAACACCGTTTTTAGAGATGGAGCCTGCATAATATTGATTTTGAAAAAAGGGGTTATTTAAATTTAGATACGCGTGAAAACATTAAGTTTATTAGATCAAATGAGACATTTCCAAACATAAATATTTTGTTATACGTTTGCCGCAGGCTGAATCTTGCATTTCCTGCAGCATTGTAAACATTGGCTACATTGTACCCACAATGCACTGCAAAGCTATGCTAACTGCTTCCTAGCAAATCCAGTAAAAAACAACAACAGGCTATCGTGGAGAGAAGGTAGCTGCATGGGGAACGACAACAACAACCAGCGGTATTTTCCACATGCAATGATTTTTATTGAGAAAACAATGAACCGTGGTCTTAACATGTAATTAGTGCAGGCTTTTATTCGCTTTTGCCCCGTTAGAGTTTCACTCAAAGGATATTTTAGGTGGAAACGGTTTGTAGGCTAGCTGGCTCGCCTGCTAGCTTTCTTCGTCTCTATGTTTGCGCGTCTTCCGGCAGCAGCGGCGGCGGCGGCAGCAGCGGTGCCATGAACAGTGGACTCCCAGTCACAGCCGCTCCGCTCGGGGTTGCCGGGATACCCAGCGTCAAAGTGAAGTTCTGTCGGTACTACGCTAAAGACAAGACATGCTTCTATGGAGACGAGTGCCAGTTCTTGCACGAGGATCCCTCCATGGCGAGCCTGTCGCTGCATGGAGGAGGCAACAGCCCAGTACCGTTGTCCATGGCCAGCAGTGGCGGCGGGACGCCAGGGGGCTACTCACTCGGAAGCTCCGCGGCAACCTGTCCGGGCGGAGGAAGCACCAGTGTGCCCAAGAAAAATGAAACACTGGGGCCTGCGGGCACGTCGCTAGAGGGTCAGCTTTTAACCAGTGAGTTGCCATTAGTATTTTTTAGAACAGGCCCACTATTGAGCGACTGAAAGTGACTTTACTTGTTGGCCTTGTTTAGTGTGTGTCAAAATTTAGCTTGAGGATTCAGCGAGGCCTTTCGCACCAAAAACGGCGTGGATTGTATTTTCCTGTCAACATTATCGAGAGCGCACTCTATGCACTCAAGTGACAAAGTTGTGCCCATAGTTGCAGAATGTTTTTTTAAACCAGTATGCAGTTTTAGCCATGCTGCTGCAGCTGGGAGGCCTGTTGTTTTTATATGACAGCTGTGAGTGGGCAGAAATCACAAGTGCTGCTAGCAGAAGCTAGCCTCGGATGAACGTAAACGTTTAATTGCCAGTTTAAACCTACCTAAAATTCCTACCTTAACCAAAAATATGTTGTTATTTAAGTTATTAGCTGTTTTCCATCCTTATTTGTTTTTTTTTTGTCGAAGTTAACCCAGGGGTTACAGCAGAGGTAAAACTTTAATGTTTGCTAACATTAGCGTAGCCGCGCTAACGGTGCACGTTACATCGTTTTGCCCTTGTGTGTTTATTTTCTAATTACCTCGTTAAGTAACGAAAAAAAAACTCGTGTAAAATTACGATGTTCAAAAAAAGAAACACACTCTTACACCACAGTTGTAACGTTTTAATACTTGCCACAACCTTACACAAGTATCGGTTATTACATTCTGTTTACTTTACCCTATGATTTCGCAACACAACATTGTTGGCGAAAAATGCACTGTATGAAAAAGTGAGTTAACATTCATTTGGGGGTTCTTTTTGACATATTATACAAACTAATGAATCACTTTATGTAATTATTGTTATACTTCTTTAGATCAAATCTCTATCTGAGGCTAAAGTCTAGCTTTATGGGGAAAAAGGGGTTATCAAAGACATGAAAGCATTTCAGATAGTAGCAGAAGTGGCTGATGTTAAAGACACTTGTTAATATTTTAGTCCTGTGTGGAATGAAAAGTATGAATAAAGAAACAACCTAAACTCCTGCAAATAAATGCACAGTGAACTGTGTGTAAGTAGTACCTAACGTTATGTTCTCTTCTCCACAGTCCCAGGGATGGAGGGAGCAACTCTGAGTGATGCCAGTCTTACCAACTCTTACTTCAGCAGCAGCTTCATAGGGGTCAATGGGTTTGGCAGCCCAGCGGACTCTAAATACTCAATGATGCAGGTAAAACAGAAAAAGCTCTCAGAAAAAGCCTTTGTTTTTGTTGTGCCGCTGCAACAACTCAATACACTTGAATATGGCTACACAAAGAAACATCCTTTTTTACTTTGTTGAATAGAGGTTAAGGTCCCATGTAATAATCTGAGTTTTAATAAGGAAGTTAGAAGACCCTTTAAATGTAAAGAAAAAGAAATCTGAAAGGTCAACAGATCTTTTCAAATGACTCACTGGTAAATGTTTCTTTTACATGTCATTTTTCTCTTTATTATCTTGTTACAAATTAATAGCTGTTGACATTTTTTATAATCATGGACCAACATGTTGCCTCAGAATTTTGCACAGTCCTGTGAAGTCAATGTGAACTAATGGTTTCTAAAGCTGTTCTACATCAGCCTGTACACTTTGTGTCATTGTTACATACTGTTACCTGTATGTTACCTGTAAGTACCAAAATTACGGACACATACTGTTTGACTTTTTGTCAACTACATGTTGGAACCATTGTCATGCGCATTGTGTGTTATTTGTTCTGCAGAGGTGAACAGAAAAGTTATCATTTTTGTTCATTTTATGCAATTTTAAGGTGGTTGTCTATGTAGAACTGTACAACAGTCTGTAATGAAAACACACCGGATCAGTGTTTACCTTTATCAAATGTTCAGCAGCCTGCACAAATGCATCATAATGTATAGTGGACATTTGTCAAGTTATGCTTGGAAAATGGAAGTTGGGGTATAATTTACATGTTTGTACATCAGTTTGCAGATAAAGGCTATTTCAATTTGTTTTGTAAAGTAACTATCATCACATCACTATGTCGTAATAGTTTTAAATATTTTTTCTTTTCAGAGAATGACTACCAGCAGCAGCTCTCCCAGTCTCATCAACGATGGTGCCAAGAACTTCAGCCACAGCTCTCATGGTAGGATCTCCTCATTTAAATCAGCGAAAGGGCTGTTAGCGCTCATCTGATCACATGAATGAACCGTACCTGACACAACTTCCATTCTATCATTTACTAAAGATCCAGTGAACTCCCCAACATCTTCACTCTTTAGTGATTTTGGTGCTCTAAGCATTTCCCAAAGGAGAAAAGTGAGTATGTGGTTAATCTTGTGCCAACAACTTCCCTGGATTGATCTATATTGCTTCTAACGACTTAAATTAAATTAAAAACTATTTTCTATACACATTCAACAAAACTGAGGAATTTTATGAATTGCATTTTGTTTTTTTTTGTAATCTACTGCCAGGCTCCTAATCCAGCAGCGAGTGAGTTCATACCGAAGGGAGCTCCACGTATGGCCACCATGGCTCAGTCAACTGTCCAGGCCTTCCCTTCGCCCCTCTTCCCTCACCCAGGACTCAGCAGTTCCACAGCCACTGCCCTGGCTCCAGGTATGTTTTTTTACACTTTAATGGTCTAGATTTTTACTCTGCATTTTTTCACCTTCTCACATGAGTTAAGGGAGTTCTTACATCTGTTTGGTGTGTTTCTAAAATATTTATCCTCATAAGTTGTGCTTATAGCCAATACTTTGACTAGTTCTAGTATTTACTGGACTTCTGTCTTTGACTTTAGGAATGTCCTTGTCTGCCGGGTCTTCTCCACTCCACTCTCCAAAAATAACACCACACACCTCACCTGCGCCTCGTCGGCGCAGTCACACCCCAAACCCTGCCAATTACATGGTGCCCACCACTGCATCTGACCAAGGAGCTCACATTATCCAAAAAGAAACTGTTGGGGGAACTACTTACTTCTACACAGACAATACTCCAGCACCGATGGCTGGAATGGTATGTGCCTGCAACTGGCTTTTTTTTCAATAAAATATTTAAAGTTTAAAGCTGCAGATACATACTTTTTAATTTTGTGAGTATGTTGAAAAATGTATATTTACTATTAAATTATTGAACTTTAACCATCAGTGTTTAATTTTCTACCACGTACAAATCCTCCGTATTGAGTTTTCTTGTCGTCGAAACCTGCTCCCAAAACCTTGTTATTGGTTTTGTTATTCCCGTACATGTAGCTGTCGTGCGTCTACATTGGTTTTCTTTTCTCAATAAATAGGAAGCTTTTCTTGTCTGGTTTCATCGCAGGTGTTTCCTACTTACCATATCTACCCCCCCACTGCACCCCATGTGGCCTACATGCAGCCAAAAGCAAACGCCCCGTCCTTTTTTATGGCTGATGAGCTGCGACAGGTATCACGCATTTGGCTTTTTTTTTCTTTCAACAGATATCTCTTTGTTCTCGTCTCTGTTCTAATGTGATTTTATCATTGTTTCCCCTTCAGGAGTTAATAAACAGACATTTGATCACCATGGCCCAGATTGACCACTCAGAGAATCCAGGTATAAGGGCTTTCTGTTGCACCATTTTGTATTTATGCCAATTACACAGTCACAGATAGGGGACAGGTTCTTTTATATAGTCCAACACTTCTTCAGGTCTTCAGGACCTGACTCTCTTATAACGACATGTTTTTTTTATAAATGTGAAACCAGAAGTGTTTGTTTTGTAATATCTTGTGAGACAGGGAGTTGCATTGTGGAACGAAACCAAGCAGAGTCTGGAAACAGTTGAAGACAGGGAGTTGCATTGTGGAACTTTAAAGAAACCAAGCAGAGTCTGGAAACAGTTGGTTTCATAATTCTGGAGTGGAAGTGTGTAGAAACGTTTGAAGTTTCTGAGGCTTACCTACACTGTCTGTTGTTAAAATGGACAGAAAACTATTTTTGAAGCCTGTGAAATATATGATATATTTACTTTTTTTGTTTCACCACTTTGTGTTTGTTCCACTTGAGCAGATGTACCAGGTGAGGTGGACAGCTACCACAGCTTGTTCCCCCTTGAACCACTCCCACCACCAAACCGTATGCAGAAGACCAGCAACTTCAGCTACATCACCTCCTGCTACAAGGCTGTCAACAGCAAGGATGACCTGCCTTACTGCCTGAGGAGGATACACGGTAAAAGAAAATGTGTGGCAGATGTCACATGACATGCCAAAGAGTATCGCTGTCTTAACTGAGCTGCCAAATATTGTTCCTAGGGTTGTCCTTTGTCAAACTATTCTTACTGTGGTTAACAAAACGCGCAGCATAAGTTGTCACTAACTTTTGGTAGGATAAGACATTGCTTGCTAAAATTATGTAATTTAAAATAACACAATGGCAGTGTTCCATGCAGAACAATGACTCTCTGCGCCTAATTTAAGGACAGCCTATTCTCTTGATATGCAACATGGTCACTGTGGGCTTCCCCTGATTACAGATATGTGCTGTGTAAATGAGCTCTAAAACACACACTTGCTAGAACATTATCTCAGCCAGTGAAGCAGAGCCAGTCTCATAACTAATGGTATTCCTAAAATAGACGACCTGTCCCACATACTGTTTAGAAATGCAGACTACGATCTGTTCAAAGACGCATTTGACAGCTCAACAGACCCGAGTGATCAGAGCCGCTTTGTCAGGCTAATAACAGTTGCATATATATTTAGGAGAGTAGTCCATTTAGCAATTTAGTATTTTTACTCAGCTTGGTCACCTGTGACATTTGAAGGATGGTAAAATCAAACTGAATCTAAGTCAACAGCAAACCTGGACTGGTTTGCAGATGCATTAATAAAAATGTCTACATTAAAATTTAAACTTTACCTGTGTCTTTATCTGGAATTTGTTTTACCACGGTTCCAGGTTTCCGTCTTGTTAACACCAAGTGCATGATGCTGGTGGATATGTGGAAGAAGATCCAGCACTCCAACTCTGTGACATTGAGGGAGGTCTTCACCACCAAGGCCTTTGGAGACCACTGTAAGTGTTGATGCTCATAGTACCCTCATGAAAATAACATTTTTTCCAATAGCAGTCACTGGTTTTCTAAGTTAAGTTTTCCTCATAAGTAGAAGAATATAGTCTGCAGAGAAATTAGAGTGAGAAACATGGTTTGTTAAATACCATTTGTTTCCTCACGATTGTGGTCTTTGAATCAAAGACTAATTTTGGTTGTTTTAGTAAATGTTCAGTTGCTGATCAAATATTCCATTGTCCACTTCTTTGTTCTCTAGCCCTGGTGTTCTCTTACGACTTCCATGCTGGTGCAGAGACCATGTTCAGCAGACACTTCAATGACCCAGCAGCAGATTCCTACTTCACCAAGAGGAAGTGGGGTGAGTTGGTCTTCTCTGTCTTCTGCACTAACAGAAGAAGCAAAAACATATATGCATCACACCTTTTGAGTTCTCTCACGATGTCTGTGTCCATTTAGGCATGTTTCTTATGCTTGCAGTTTGTGTTGCTGTGGGAACGTTTTAAAGGGTTACGGTTGACATTATGCCACTAGGTGCTTCTGCAAACACATGGGAATGGATGTTTTGATAGCTCTTTAAAAGTCTGTAAGTACTAGTTTGACAGTTGGCTTGCATGTGTCTGCAACATAGACATGGGGAGGGGGGTTTTGAGGAAACTGTGGCTGAAACTGATCCTGGGACAGGTGCTGTACGGTCTACCTACAACAATGCAGAGAGAGGAAACACAACAGTAGACCCGAGCCTTGTTAAAAAAAAAACACACATCATATATGAGTTAAAAAGAAATGAAGAACTTTTTTATATTCTGTTTACATGAACAGGCCTTAGCGTGATGTTGTGGCTTTTTGTTTTTCAGCACACACCCTAAACCTTACAAGTAATATTATGCAGTGTCATGTTGGTGTTAGGGCTACAACCTAAGAACCAGAAATTTTAGGTGTGTCATGTAAAAGTTATTTTCCCCCTCCTAATAAAAACAGCACATTACCTGAATATTCCCACTTTCTTGGATTTTTGCATCGTCTAGTCCTGATGCTGTTTTTTGTAATCTTATACAAGTAGATTTTTCTTTTATTTCTCATTGATTCAGGGTACTGACACGAATACTTCTTTGCATTGGGCTTTAATAAATTGCAATAAAGTGACAGGTAGTGTTATATAGGTGAAACAGTGTGTGAGCTCAAACAAAACCACAGGGATGACAACTAGCAGGAAAATACTTGGTTTTATTTCCTTGTTGAGATGTTTTTGTTCTGTACCAAGGGAAATGCATTGTTCTGTATCAAACAAAAAGTCTTCAAACCGAACATATTTCCCTGAAGCTAAGAATAAAATAAACAGAATTAAACTTTATGCAGCGTTAACACAGCCAATTCTATGGGAACTCATTAGAACTTTTACACCAATTGTGCATTTTAATTTAAACACTGGGTCCAGCTTTTTTTATTTGACAAACTGTCAGTTATCGGGGCACTGGATCAGCACTGGATTTCAAGTGGAAGTATTTAAGTAAGGTATTAGTGTCAATACCAATTATGCTATTGGCATATGTACCTCTAGGTTTAATGTATGTGTCCAAAGACATTTATTGTTTTTATTTATTTTTTTTATTGTGATGATTGTTTTCTCCAGGACAACATGAGCCTCCACCCCCACGGCAGCATGCAGGCCTCCTCCCTGAATCTCTGATCTGGGCCTACATAGTCCAGCTGAGCTCCGCCCTGCGCACCATCCACACGGCTGGCCTGGCCTGTCGTGTCATGGATCCCAGCAAGATTCTCATTACTGGCAAAACCAGGTGGAACACACATTAACACATCTACTGCAAGTTTGTCAGTCAGCATGACTTTCTTTTAACTATGCAGCGGTCAGATAAGGCCGATGTCTGAAAACACTTTTAAGAAGAACAGTCTTCTCAGTGGAGACTTCCTCTTCTCACATCCATGCATTTATGTACACTCACTTTCCTACACTAACTGTAATGTTTTCTTATCTCTGAAGGTTACGAGTAAATTGTGTTGGAGTGTTTGACGTCTTAACATTTGACAACAGTCAGACCAATCATCTTGCCCTAATGCCACAGTACCAGGTACTTTTAATAGTTTTTACCTTATATGGTCATTCACATATAAATGCACATCACAAAACAGGCTGTCTAATTGGAGACTAAGTTTGTTTTAGATGGCTGCTTGTGTAAAAGAAAAATCAACACAGGTGTTGTTGATGTTTTTCCTCCTCCAGCAAGCAGACCTTGTGTCACTGGGCAAAGTTGTGCTGGCGTTGGCATGTAATTCCCTCGCTGGCATTCAGAGGGAGAACCTGCAGAAGGCCATGGAGCTGGTGTCCATCAACTACTCTTCAGACCTAAAGAACCTCATTCTGTGAGGAATATGCATGTACACAAAACTTGCAAAATAATGTAACATGCAAGCGTGTTAAGCAATTTGCAAACTGCAGCTCTGTCTCAATTTGTCTGTATTCACACTGTCATTTATTCCTTTGGCATGGAAACACCAGAATAAATGTCTTTTTTTAATTTATTACATGTTTTTGTTGTAACCACACATTTCAGTGCTGCTCTTTCTCACTGCTTCTCTGCCTGTGCAGGTACCTGCTGACCGAACAGTCTCGGCTGCGCAGCGTCAATGACATCATGCCGATGATTGGAGCCCGATTTTACACACAACTGGATGCATCTCAGATGAGGAATGACGTCATTGAAGAGGACCTGGCCAAGGTACAAACAGGCTGTTTGCTAAAAAAAAACAAACTCAACCTTTCATTTGAAAGTAAGTGTTCATCAGTTTGCACTGTTCAGTATTGTTCTTATCAGGTAAACACAGAACACAGTTCTGATACTCTGATCAGAAATAGGACATTGGTTTAGCGGTTCTAGGGGGAAGTTGTGTTAACACAGGATGTTATATATGAAGAGCACCTCAGCTTTTACAGCCGTGTGTATTTAGTTCCTTGATGGTGATGTAAACGTGGAGTACCTCACACGCACCACTTTTTTTTTTTCTTTGTTCATGATCTGACTTCCTCTCTTACTATCAACAAATCTAAAGCTTGTTTTTCTTCTTACTGAAAGTCAATCTAATGTAGAGGAGAGGTAAAATTAGGTTAATTTAGTTCCAGTAATCAGCTGTGTTTGTAACACCTCAGTGAGATAGCGTTTGGAACTGAGTCTGATTTATGGATACCATCAGTGGTGACAAAAAGTAAGGGTTTCCTGCATGTCAGGCTTTGGCTGCATGAAATTCAAACCAATGAGCAGTGCTCTTTAATTCTGTCTCTGCTTTAATTAGTTAATCCTTTCCAATAGGTTTTTTTAATAACGTGCCAGGAGGGCATCCCAGGCTCTTGCCCTTTTCCCTTCACTGGTCCCTCACCTGTACTGTTCCTGTCTGTTAATTTCAGTCACATATCTTGAGAGTTTGAATATGATGTAATTCACTGTTAAGTTTACAACTACAGGTACATTTGGTCTCATTCATCAAACAATGTAAACTCAGTTCTCTGCTGAAGACATGTAATGTTTTGCAGTAGGCAATTAGGTGGCTTTTAAGTCATTTTGTCCAAAAATAGTTACATCGAGGGCAACTGGACACAGTAGGGTTTTTTTTAAGAAGAAGTTGACCCTAACCCTAACCCTAACCCTGAATATCAAACCCAAGACTTTGATTATATAAACATGACATTGTGTTGCATCATGACTGCTCAGAATCATTTTTAAAACATTTGGTTCTGTCCCAGTTCATTCATTTACATAATACAAAAATGAAGCTGATTTCATCAGACATGAGTCAAGAACTTAAACCTTGTTAGGTGTTATACTTAAAGACTATAATAAGCCCATTGATTGAAAGTTGCCCAGCAGATTGAGATGCTTTAGGACATTTTTGTTGATGATTATTGTGCATCTGCTCCAATTCTAAAGCAGTGGCATTAATAATTAAGTTATGACAGGCTGTCACTGCTTTATTATCTTAGTTAGAAAAAAAATGTAGCTAATGTTGATCTTTTTGTCAGATACTCTCTTTTTGGACCATGATAGTATAATATGGTCAAAGGTTGACATCGGGGTGTAAGGTACTGTAAGTGTGCCTCAGTTTAAATCAGTCAGTGGTTTATAAGATGAACCACTACTGTTGCTGATTACATATTCACACATTATGTTAAAGTGTAGTTATGGGTAAACTAAAAGCTGTGAAGAGGAAGTGTCACACAGAACCTATAAAAAGAAAAACAGGGTCCAGTACAACGTGTGAACAAAAGTCAAGAAGGTGATACTTCACATTCTCAGCCCTGCAGCATTTCTATGACTTTAATAGACTAGACTAGAAGTCAAATTTGACTTTTATTTATTAAACAATTGTTTGACTTTTTTTTCCAGGAAGTGCAAAATGGCCGCCTCTTCCGACTGCTGGCCAAACTGGGCACAATCAATGAGCGTCCTGAGTAGGTCCAGTGTTTTTACAGTCAACTTTATCCCAAGGTGTGACCTGTGTTTCCATTGTCACGTGACGTTGTTTTGTTGTTTGAATCAGGTTTCAGAAGGACCCCACGTGGTCAGAGACAGGTGACCGCTACCTGCTAAAGCTTTTCCGCGATCACTTGTTTCACCAGGTGACAGAGGCTGGAACGCCTTGGATCGACCTCAGCCACATCGTCTCCTGCCTCAATAAAGTCAGTGGGCTGGTTTTTTTTTTTTTCAAACCCAAGACTTTATAAGTCTATCATTCTGTTCTTTAATAAAGTCTGCCACTGGTTACATTTTCTGTGAGGTCCAGAGGTCCATCTAACCGGATAGCACTTGTTCTAAAACTATGACATGTGTACTACCAGTGGTACTTAAGCTCCCTCTGGTGGTATGAAACTGAATTCATTTTGTGTAGGCATGACTTGGACTATTATTTTTTTTTTATATTTTGGCATCAACTCTAATTAATCTAACAACTTTTTTTCCTGGACCTCCACAGCTGGATGCTGGTGTTCCTGAGAAGATCAGTCTGGTGTCTCGGGATGAGAAGGGCGTCCTTGTTGTGACCTACTCGGACCTGAAGCGCTGCTTTGACAGCACCTTCCAGGAGCTGCAGGCTGTAGCCTCAGGTTCTCTGTAGCGTCCTCTTTGGGCCAGGGGTGGAAGGACCCCGACCTGGAGCACACTATTGCACTACAGTGAAGGACCAGACTTGTGGAGGTGACATCAGCTCGGTGAAGGCAGCGGGGCAAGGCTTCGTTAACCTCAGTCACATACACTGACCCTGTTCCACCAGGATGGCTTTTTCTAAGGTGTATTTTTTTTTTAATTTTCCTAAAAATCTGCTGAAAATGGAAAAAAAAAACAAACAAACAACAAAATAAAACAAAAAAAAACAAACTAAAGAATAATAGACTAAGGACAAATACAGAAGCTGTGATAAATGAGAAAGAAGACTTTTTTTAGATTTGGGGAACAAAAAATGAGAAACAAACCAGTAAGGTTTTGGAACTTTTTTCCTGCTTTTATTCTTTATTTCTACAGTTGGGGTTTATTTTTCTGAGGACGATGCACTAAGATTTTAATTTTTTGTTCTTTTTTATTTTTATGATAATGTGTGAGTGACCTACAGGGTGTACAGAGAGAGATAGAGTCACACACAGACAGAAATATCAGAGAAAACTCAGAAAAATAAAAACAAACAAAAAGAAATCCAGATTTTTATGAACTGCATCTCCTGCTGGAGACCGTGCCCCTTTACTCTGACGCACTAGGAGATGGGACATACCACTGGAGGCACTCACAGAGGTGGAGAGCATATGAAATGGACTGGCCCACTTTTCCTCCCAGAAAGAATGTGTAGGTTCTTGAAACTGGAAAGAAATGAATGAATTCCTGACATTTAGGTTGTGAGGATTTTGGAATTTCCAGCTCATGCCACTGGATGTGTATGTGGGTGGGCTGTCATGGACCAGGATGTGGTGATTATTTTGGCACTGAGGAGGGTGGGTCGTCTTCTCCTGATGCTGTCTACCAAGTGTTTGTTACATATGCAGAAACCACATTTGGTTAACGAAAGTCTTAGTGACATGAACTGAAGAGTCATTTTTGTTTGGCTCTGCAGCACTTAGGAGTGTGACCTGTGGGTGGAGAATCTCCAGGTGACGCCACACCTGCCTTTCTGTGGAATGTCCTCATTTGGCCTCTCACCCCTCTTCCTCCCCCTATCGTTTTCTGCAGTACACTTGTCTTGGAATCAACTTTTTTATCCCAAACTTCACTTCCACCCTGTGGTTTAGGGTCTTATACTTTTGAGAAAAAAACTGCTCCAGCTTTCCTTTTTTGGGGGGGATGGGAGGGGGGTGAAAATTTTAGCTATTTTTTTTCTCTTTGCTCAGATGCTGTGTAGAAAAACCTGAGGGGAAATAAGGGAGGACAAGTCATTTTTGACTCAATTTACTAGTGTGTGGACCAATTCCAGCAGGGGCTTAGGCACGGGGGAAGGACGGAGGGTGAAGGAGAACAAAACACAAGTGGTTTTTGTTTTAATTAACATTTTAAAGTGAAATACAAATACAAATAGCGCCCAGATGCTGGCTGCTGCCATCACTCAAATGGCACGGATTTCTCTCAGGATGACAAACAACTGGAGGGGCCCAATGATTGAATGTGTCTTGCTGTCATTGATCCTTTCTCCAGTCAGATCAATGAGTTACAGTAAAGTGGGCAGGAGTTCCTCAGATGGAGTTTTTGGAGGTCAAAACGGCGTTGCAGTGATTACACTCTGAAATATTTTTCTGTTGCCCTTAAGCACAGTTCACACTGGGATCTACGTAAATCTCATTATCACTTAAGAAGGTTGGTGCCAACTTAGTTTAACGAGAAAACCATATTTCTGTTGTGTCAAACCGCCGCATTTCAATCATAATCTTTATTATGATTGTACAACAAAGAAATCCGTTCTGTAATACTGAAGGGTCCTGTTGAAGGACCCTCACAGTCAGATTGGAGTCAAAAGCACCTCATCAAGCACAGTGTTTCGACTACAGTTAACATTTCAAAGTTTGTCAGACGTCATTCGTCTGTTCTTGAGGGCAACAAACTGACGAGACGACGGCTGCATTTGACCATGTACTTTTTCCTCACTTTTAGTAAAACAGACAGATGAGCCTATTTTGATAAATTTGGTGCTTAAGATAACTCATACACACATACACACAACCTTTTCAAACACCATTGCCTTCGTACACAAAGTCAGTGTCCATATCACGTTCTTCCACAGAACATAACACACTCCAGGTAGACAAGAAGTGACAACGTTCTTCTCCCCACACTTACAATCACCATTTTGGTCTGTTTTATGTCCCTTTTGTGTTTATTGTCCCAGATTTTTTGCAATATTTGTGTGTACAGCAGTATTTTAATAAAGAATACCAAAACATACATGAACAATGTTGCTGTGTTTAGAATTACACAAGTCTTCTAATTTTTTCTAATTTTTCTTTGGTTTACCACAAATCACAGTAAGGCATTTTTGTGCAATTTTTGACCTAGCATGAGAAAATGTGTTATTTGTAGTGAAAATATACATACAATAGTGTGCATTGTCTGGCAATTTTCCTTTTAAGCCATTTTTAGATTATATTTTTCTTTCATGGTTGTCATAGTATGCTATGGCATTTTTGGTCAGCTTTTCACTTAAAATAAGAATTGGTACATTTAGGGATTTATTTTTCAAACACACACATGGATAGTCATTATGAGACAAATTCTTGCATTTTAAAGTGTTATGATGATTTTAGTTTTTCGTGATATTGTTTTACATCAGTGTGGTAAGAAATTTGTGGTCAATTTTTGACCTACCAGGATACATTTTTTATTGAAAAATATACAAATTGATCGCCATTTAGATACAAATTCTTGTGTTAGGTCTGATTTGAGTGGTTTTAATTATACTTGATTTATTTATTTATTTATTTATACAAATATCACAGTATGATAAGGCATTGGTAGTGAATTTTTGACCCGCCATGAAATTGAGAGTATCATTATTAATATATTATTATTCTATCATTATGAGATACTTTTTTAATTATTTTGACTTTGACTGCAGGAAAATGACGTGTACCTGCAGTCTGAAACAACTGTCAAACAGGCGGGAGGACAGTGTCTACAGACTGTCAACCAGTGGCTGAAACCCTTGCTGTATAATGTGAGTACCATTTCCAAGAATTCTTTGGATACCATCTGCTCAAAAAAAAAAAGTTAAATAAGGATTTTTTGAAAAATTCTGAAAAATAGTGTTCAAAAAGAATTTATCATAAATTTCGGAAAAGAAATAACATGATGCATTAGGATTTTGCCAAAAAATATGAAAAAGGAAATTCTAAAAAGGTTCTCAAAATGCTCTTATTTGATGAGAAACATGCAAATAAGGTACAATTTTGATTTTTTTCCCACCACATTTTCATCAGAATTTTTCAAACATCTGAATAACATGACATGTGGAATGAGGTACATAAGACACAAATATGTTCAGCCTTTTATTTTGGTCATGTAAATAAATGTAATTATTAATAAATGTAATTATTATATTATAATATATTATTATATAAAAGTATATTTTTGGACATAACCATGTATTTTAAGACAAATATGTGTATTTTTAGTCATTTTTGAGAAA